TGTACAGGTATGTGTATGTCTAGCTACGTCCAACATTTAATGTTTGTATCTGTACAGGTATGTGTATGTCTAGCTACGTCCAACATTTAATGTTTGTATCTGTACAGGTATGTGTATGTCTAGCTACGTCCACCACTAAATGTTTGTATCTGTACAGGTATGTGTATGTCTAGCTACGTCCACCATTAAATGTTTGTATCTGTACAGGTATGTGTTGGTCTGGGTTCAACGTCCCCTTATCCTATGGGTAGTCCAAGTGCTGCTGTCCGTTCTTACGTTAATGAAAGGCTTGCTGGATATATACATCGGCTCAAAGGTAAGAACACTTATTTTTTATATAGCAATATACCAATTCTTATTTATTTATCTGTTACACAGTAATTATTCTGTTCGTAATTTTTTTTAATGATTTGTTTTAAATTACTGAACAAGCTTTTCTACTTACATTTTCTAACAAGTTTTTTTTTTTTTTTAAGTTCTCAAACCTCCTTCTGTTTTTACGTTTTATAATAAGATTTATTTGAGTGTTCTCTATTCAAATGTTTATTGTTTGTAATTTCGTTACCTGATTGTTTCCCCTCTCATTCCCCTACCAGGTTTGGTTTGTTTGTTTTCCTACCGGGTTTTGGTCTAATGTTTTCTAACTTTTAAGGACCGATTGATTTCATACCGTTCGCTACTTTATTTTGCGGATCAAACCTATGCGGTTTTCTTTCTGTAATTTTACAGCGTTGAAATTTTCCAAAACGCCATTAATAGTTGATAGTTCTAGCAAACTCTGTATCAGAAGCGCTAAGCTTTTGTGACATTCATATTTCGCTTATTATATATCATGTCGCGAGTAGTATTGCATGCGCATACACTACCGCAAGTGCAGTGTACTTGGCGGATCGATTTGTGGTTAAAATGATCTTTTGATCAGAATGGTGAAAAAGAAATAGAAGTTCGAGGCCAGTCGTTTCGATTCGTGTATGTTTTAGTTAGCACACCAGAGCCATAAAACAATGTCGATATGCTTATACTTTAAATATCTTATTCCGTCTTTGCGTATTGCAGAGTTATCTGCTCTTGTGAGCAGGTATTGGTTGTTGCGTCATTTTATTTGTGAGAGTAACGTCATCAATTTTTGAGAAAATGACGTAAATTTACACACAAATCAATGACGTAGCAATCAATACCTGCTCACAAGAGAAGATAACTCAATACACAAAGACGGAATATTGTACAGAATATGCTTTTGTGCGTTACATCGCAAAAGGAGACGATAATAGATACAAACATATCGCGAATATGTATTCCAACACAAGCAACCAAAGACGATATAGCCTTTGTTGAGCATATTGAGAATTCATATATTTGCGAACAACTCACTTGAAGATTAATCGCGAAAACAAGTATACGCCGATATAAATTCATTAGCAGCATATAGCAAAAACACGATGATAAAGAAAGGGACTTATATTTCCCCGGTAATATTGCCATGCCTAATTATATGGTTATTTTCGCAACGTGAACAAACTTTTCCGTTCATTCCTTCCGCGATATCATTAAATAGGTACTCTAATTACAGAAGTACATTCTCGAATGATTTTTTAACTGTTCATTAGCATCCTAGTATCAAGTTTCAAATATATCTCTTCCAATTTAATTTTTAGCAAACATCAAATCTCATCTTCACGATGTGAAAAAATCCATATGATTTTGAAAGAAATGCTTTGTATCGTTCAAACATATAAAATGTCGCTAAAATGAAAGTAAGATTTGTTTTGATGTATTGCCGTGAACATTTTTCGATTGACGTATGGTTGATCTGTAAAATTGCATTCCTTGAGTAATAGAATTGGTAACGGCCATGCAACAACATCGTACGTAACCTGGGAACCAGATGTTTTGAAAGGAATGCAGGACAACAACACAATAGTATGATATGTACTGTGGCGTAGAGTAAGAACAGCTACGCATAGGAGTGGGCATATGGTATAAATTGTGTATCGTAATTTTCATATTTTGCTGTATTCAAAGACAGCTGTACTTAATTAAAATGTTATTGGGTTATCATGCACACAAAAATACGAAATTTGATTTATTTTTTTATATTACAAGGGCACCTGTTTGCAGAAGCTTACCCACGACGGTTTTATTTTGGATCTCATATGCACTGTGCCGTTCCTTGTTACCGTAAGTACATGAAATGAAACAAAACATGCTATTGAGTTAGGATAACTGTTATAGCCAAACACTGGAATTTAAATATGATTGCATACGAGTTGAACGGATAAAGTTTATTAGCACATAAAAAGTAGGATTGGAGATGACATAAGATGATATATTCAAAAATACCATTGTTGTTATATTTTGTTTATAAGAAAAAAAGTTTTTATTCATACTTTTTATTTACAATTTTTTATTTTTAACATCAGTTCCTAATCACATATTCTTAATGGAAAAGATTTTCGTTTTGATTGAACAACAAAACTTCATATCAAAACAAACTATGAATATTGATATCCATGAAAACGTTTACAGGACCAAAGGCCAAATATTTGCTTTGTACATCGGAACCTTGATATCCCAGACGCTGTGGTTACAGGGATGTATACACCACGATACTTTATTTATGTATACAGCTGTGCTTTGCTGTTCAATACATTATTTAGGTTTCTTTGGATAAGGACTCGTATGCTATTACTTAGTTTGAGAGCTACCAGCTTTAATATTTGGAGTTTAACACTCGTGATTACGGTCTAGATTCATAGGTAAACAACTCTAAAGATTCATAGATACAGACCGAACACATAATTCAAAAGAAAAGACATTTTTGACAGGTTTACTGGCATTTAAGAGTATCACAGCCTTCAATTGTTTCTAACCGGTAGTCTACAAGCCAATTTTTTTTTTCTAACGTTAAATACAAATGTACCTATAGATTTCATTCAATAAAATCTGTCTACAGTTACACATTTAGTGTTCCCAAGGGCATTGTTCTTATCCAGAGCAAAGGTAAGGTCAGGGACTATTCGGTCATCTGTCTTACCTTATACCAGAATGATCAAAAGGGACGAGTTGACGAATTACACAACTTCTATTTTATAACAAAATATAGTTACGAAAAACAAGTGTAAGTCATCTTTTGACACAGGCTTTTTTTTTTTTTACAAATTGCCTCTAACACACATGTATATAGGAGAACATGATACACTTTGTTAGTAGGTATACGTCTTTTTACACGGGTTTCTTGGTAACACAGTTTTAATTCAACGTATCGTATGTTTTGTTTGGATTTCTTTTTAAAACGGTTTGAAGGCCTTGTTTAAACATGTTAATGTTCCTGGATCATATAGACTTTTATTTAGGCTGGCTTAATTGTATACGTACATGGATTATCTTCCTTTGTCCCGACAGGTGGCGTACCCACCAATACTTAGTAACATCTTCATTCCTAGTTTCCTCAACTGTTGGCTGGTCCGCCGATCTCTTCAAAAACTACTGGTATGTACACAATTATAACAAGTAAATACATGTTTTTTATTTATAAAATCTTAGCTCAACGGCAAAACAAAAAACAAAAAAAAACCAAGCAAGCAAAGAAATAACCAAACAAAGAAAACAAAAGGGACTTTGACAGAACGATAGCAAAATTATTATGAAACCGTGTTTGAGAAGGAACAATTTTTAGGTATGACATTTTCTTTACTCCTTGTTTACTGTCAAGTCCAGGATGTTTTACAGTTAATTGATGATCTTTACAAAGGACATAGATGTAATCATGGTAGACGCTGAAATAGTATGACTGACAATAAAGTACATTTGATGTATCTCTGTCAGGAAACCATGATTATGAAATGTATACGTCATTAAAACGTATTTATACAAACAAAAATGTACAGATTGGAATATGTTTGTCAATTAATGATATTCATGTAATAATCAAAGAAGAGAATCGTTTGATTGAACCACATGAAGAAACTTTTATTTTTCAATCATTATGTCAACAAATCAATAATGTATCTGTTATCAATATGGATATTTCAATTAATTTCACAGAACGACCTTCACCTAACGAGACAGAGATTTCAGACAATATCAGTGACTCTGTCACAACAACTTCTGGTACTTCTCGTCACACTGTGGTGTCTTATATTTACCACGTAAGTAGAGATATTTGTAACATCGTCTTATATTTACCACGCAAGTAGCGCTATTTTTTGCATTGTCCTATATAGCATTGTCTTATATAGCATTGTCTTATATTCACCACGTACGTGGTGCTATTTGTAGCATTGGCTTATATTTACCTTGCAAGATGTGCTATTGGTATCAATATCTTATATAAACCACCTAAGAAGTGCTATTTGAGGTATTTGTAACTTAAAATCTAAACATAGCTACACGTGTATGGAATTTTGAAAGCTTTTATTATTTAAGGGTTTGAGTGACTTAAATGTGATACGTGTCTCCTTTTCATATAAACTATATTTTAGAACAATTATGAGCAAGTTCTTTTTTCATCTTATACTTATCACTATTGATGGCCCGGATGTTAGCACGAGGGGTCTTAATGTTGGAGGAAACCGGAGTATCCGTAGAAAACCCACGTTATAATGCAGGTTACCTCAAACCTTTTCATGTCCGATCAGGGAATCGAACCCAACAGCCTTGGTGAAAGGCAAATGCATTATCCCCTCCGTCAACCTAATACACATTATAAATAGATTAATACACTGAACAAATATTGTTCAAAATCTAGTTTGAAAAGCATTGTACAGTAATAGTGGTCGGATGGCGCAGTGTATAGTGTACTCGTCTTTCACCAATACGTCTTGGGTTCGACTCCCCAATCAGACGTGAAAAGTTATAGGGCAACCTGTTCGCCTACATGGATTTGGTTAATTTACCTGTAAGAACTCGAAACATGACTGGCTTGATGTTGTGTATGTATATTTAATCTTCATTGACATAACTAACCGAATTTTTATTTAAGGATTTGTGGTATACAACACATACAGCGAGGTAGTAATGGCCACGAACTGTCGATGTTCGAGGCCATGTACTTTGTGATCGTGACCTTCAGCACTGTTGGGTACGGCGACATCTCCCCAGATACCTGGCTCGGGCAGCTCTTTATGACCTTTATGATATGCTTAGCCTTCGCTTTTATACCTAGACAGGTAAGTAAAATAATGTTTCTCCCGACAGGTTAGTTTTCTTAGATATCCAGCCACAGTAACGTAATACTACATTTTCCCTTACAGATACGTAACCATAGCTAGGTAACACGGATGTATATCAAGTGGCGCAAAATCACTTTCATAGTCAATTGTCAATAGTACAATACCAAAACAAAATTTCCCGAATGGATTGAGGTATACAGTAAAACCTTGATATAATGCCCCTAGTTTCATTTGCCACCTCGTTTTACCACCAAGTTCCTCAATTTATCTCAATTTATCGTCAGACCGCATTATAATGCCAACATTCTCTGGACAATTGGTGGCAGTATCACGAAGTTTTGTATATTTTATGGGAGAACGTGAAACTGCTTTAAATGCGAATATAAGAAAAGAACATAAAAAGATAAAGACGTGTTCATAAAAATGTATGAAGACATTTTTGACTGGAGAAATCATGATTTACATTAATTGGTATTCAGCGAAATGTTTCACTCGATTGCATGAAGCAAAGAGGTGTGCAAACGCATAGGACAATGTTAATGCTTTTAAAGATATAAGATATAAGATATAATTGAAGATTTAGGTCAAAGAAAGTCGTACTATTTTTAAATTGCGAACTGTATTTTGTACACAGGAATTTACTGTTTGATTGAAGTAGTCATAAATCGTAATCTCTTCTACAGTCACAGACATTGCTAACATACACTTCACTGTTTAAATGTAACAAACACTATCATCTAAATGTAAAATATACTATCATCTACAATGTTCATTGTACTTTACTATTATCTATAATGTATTATATACAATGTATCATACACTGTCATCTAAATGTAAAATATACTATCATCTACAATGTTCATTGTTATTAACTATTATCTATAATGTATTATATACAATGTTACATACACTAGCATTTAAATGTAAAATATACTATCATCTACAATGTTCATTGTACTTTACTATTATCTTTAATGTATTATATACAATGTAACATACACTAGCAACTAAATGTAAAATATACTATCATCTACAATTTTCATTGTACTTTACTCTTATCTATAATGTATTGTATACAATGTATCATACACTATCATCTAAATGTAAAATATACTATCATCTACAATGTTCATCGTACTTTACTATTATCTATAATGTATTTTATACAATGTATCATACACTATCATCTAAATGTAAAATATACTATCATCTACAATGTTCATTGTACTTTACTATTATCTATAATGTATTATATACAATGTAGCATACACTGGCATCTAAATGTAAAATATACTACCATCTACAATGTTCATTGTACTTTACTATTATCTATAATGTATTATATACAATGTAACAAACACTAGCATCTAAATGTAAAGTATACTATCATCTACAATGTTCATAGTTATTAACTATTATCTATAATGTATTATATACAATGTAACATACACTAGCATCTTAATGTAAAATAAACTATCATCTACAATGTACTATACTATTATCTATAATGTAAAGTTTACAATATAATAAACACTATCATCTAAATGTAAACTATGCTATCATCTACAATGTACTATACTATTATCTATAATGTAACATTTACTATTATTTTGCAGAACAACATATAATCCTCAATGTATCATACACTTGTCAATTATGGACTTGTGTTGAGGTGAAAGTGCAGTTTTATGAACATGATGAAGTAACATTGACCTCGGCAGTCTTTAATTTTTATACTAGATATCAAATAATGCTTAAATAACTAAAAAAGATGGAACGTATCTAAAAAAGGGGAAAAGTACTGCATTTTGCCGATAGCATTGTGATTTCACAAATGAAATGACGTCATTAAACAATACTAAGCTGTTGCTTCTTAAAATAGCAAGACTAAGTTAATACCACAAATCACCGACCTCCACGTGATTATGATCCAATTAATGAGGCTGTAGGATATCCATGTTCGTCTAATATAACCATCAACATAATACAACATAAATAATCATCAAAAATGTAATATATACAAAATTACATATACTTTGTAGTTCATAATGTAATAAATGCAATATTTCATAAATTATCATTCTTAATGAAATATAAATACTATCACGTACAATTACTGCATTTTATCTATTATTAGGTTGAAGGCATAACCTCTACGTTAAGAGAAAGGAAGAAAATCGGCGGGGAATATAGTCAGAGCCACTCAGCGGGTCATCGACATGTGGTTGTTTGCGCAACCAATCTCACTGCCGAAAGCATCATGGATTTTCTTATTGAATTTTATGCCCACCCGAAACTTGAGGTAATATAAAAAAAAATATAATCTTTACATTCTAATAAGCTAATATGGTGTCATATTCCTGCTACCAGTTGATTTAAGTCGAGATAATAACGTCATTGAAATTATCAAGTTTAGTCGACATGTCGTGATTTTTTCCTAAGGCTACATATTCAGTTATTAATGCTGACTTAAGAAGATAGTTTTCATAACGCGTCGACTTCATTATCACAATATCGGGATAATGATACCTATCAGGATATATGACACGAGAGGCATGTTACAGAATTAAACATCTTTAAAATTTATGTACTTTGCAACAAAGCGAACATTGCTAAATAACATTTACACAGTGATCGAACTCGGAACCCTCACACTTCCTATGCTACACCATGCCAATGGTATCCTCGAACCAGCAAAATATATGACAAATTCATTCATAAGGGGAAATCACTCTTAGTCAGGAGTACCGCTTTGATTGTTTCTTCTTCTATAGAAACAACAAAAAGTGGAACTCATTTTAGTACTTGTTACCGATATAGTGGTTCCGTTTACCTAAGAACCTATACTAACAAACCCGTAAAACCGTGTCGATCAGTTATTTGTCTTTGACGCATAATTGAAACGTTACAAGAGCTCTTCCTTGAAACATGGACAAGTGTACCGTTTTTACACTTAAGCTTTACCTTAAAGAGGATAATCAGACTTAGATATCGGTGAGCAATTTCCAGAACGGTTCGATGGCTTGTTAAGTATCTGGTGATGATGCTACTATTTTCTAGTGACCTGATTAGGATATGTTATTGTTCTGTTGGTTGTCAATTGCTATAAAATAGTGATAAATATTTAAATCCTATTGACTGCTTTTTCTTTTGCCAAACATTTTTTTGAAATTGATATAAAGCTTTTATATTCCAGGACCATATAGTAGTCCTGCTAAGCTCAGAGGAGAGGGACACTAGCCTACAGATGATTTTAAAGGACCCCAAATGGGCCCACCGCGTTATATACATGCGTGGTTCTGCTTTAAAGGACATTGACCTCAAGCGATGCAGGTAGCGTAGTAAAAGAAATAATAACTATGGCTATTTGTTGCCTTGGAACTTTGATTATATAATAAAATGCATGTATTTTATACTGTTTTCCTATAATTCCTACCACTCATTTAACACACTTGTATACAAAAGGACTAATGTCTTAGGTTTGTTAGATTATGTTCGTCGTCCTTTCTGATTTCTTTCTTCTTGCGTACCGTTTTCTTCAATGTTAGATATAAACACATAGTATACAAAACACTAATGTAAGTGTTTATACATGTATATAAATATATTGAAGAAGTGAACCGCTAATTATGCCCTTTGCAATATTAGTTATTTTTTTAAAGTTTGTAAAGATTGATGAATGTAGATCAAAGTCGAATTAAAATCGTCAAATTTACATTTTCCCTCTGCTTTCTAGAAAACTGCTCAATATGTGAACAATGCAGGCGTGAATATGTAAGGACTTTTTAAGTAATCAAAGGGATTTTTATTTACAGAATTCATGAAGCTGATGGCTGTTTCATTCTCACACCAACAGCCTGTAATAACAGAGATGAGGCGGTAAGTAACTATTGCCATATCTCTTGTGAGCATATCATGTCTAATGACCTCCTTCTCGGGTCCGTCGAAAGGTTTCCATGCTTTCCACTATGTTGTAAGGAAAATTACCATTTCTCTGTTAAAATGCTTCAGTCTTGCAGATATATAAGAACAATTTTGGTTTGAATAATTAGGTTTTGACTAAATTATTCAGGATACTGCAAAAATACATGTTTTCCTGGTTTTCTAATTTGAACAGTTTTCGTTTAAGTATTACATTAAATCATGATTGCATTAATTGGAGAATCTGTATACAGTTTTCTGTTGTAAGTATTGTGAGTATGCCCATTTATAAATGTACTTATATAGAACATTTTGATAAAACACTAAAATTTGAGAAGGCCAAAATAATTACTGGTATTAGAGTAAGCGGTATCCACGCAGACTTTAAATCTTAAATATATTTATATATGTATTCATACAGGATATTGATTATTGTTTCACATTAAATGAAAATATATTATGTTATAATTAATATGTGCCTAATATTAGGATGATAAAGTGTCCAGGCTAGAAGGAAAGATATATACAAGACCTTTAATATTAACCATAATTTTTTGATAAATGACATGTAATGCATATTAGAATATGAAGCGGTTGTCAAGTGATAACATCTTTATTAATAATACATCGCTTTGTGTAATTTATTCAGGATCAGCACACTATTTTACGGTCGTGGGCTGTGAAGGACTTTGCACCAAAATGCCGACAATACATTCAGCTATTCAAAGCGGAGAATAAAATTCATGTCAAGTTTGCTGGTATGTATAACACCAGTTCAGTGATACACACTTATAGAAACATTTTGACAAAATTATTCTGATACATGACAGCTAACATCGAATCCACTATTGTTGATATGTTACTGTCAAATACAATTAACATATACATGTAATTAGTTTTCAATGCAAACTGTTGCAAATGAGGAATATACAATGACGTCTAACCCTTTCAGCTCAAAGTAATTCCGTCATATATAAGGCTATCTTTTTAATTCCTTTGTGTACCACTTACATCAAACACTTTTAATTTTGGGGTACTTTGTATACAAAACGTTTCGTTACATACATAAAGGTTATATAAAGAATGAACAATAAACGATAGAAAGTTCACACACGTAATAATTGCACTAATTTGCGTTTCATTGATAATGATATGCAAAGATATGCACATGCAATCAAAGGGACAAACTTTGAAATATATATTAAAACAGCATGAAATATTTCATCACTGCAGATAGTAAAACATTCTATGAAATATACATGACAGAATAATTGAACTTTTCCTTTTCGGGACCACATTTTAAAATACTGATCAACACATGACAGTAAAATTAACTTTTCCTTTCCGCGTACCACTTTTGAAATTACTGATATACACATGACAGTAGAATTTAACTTTATGTGTTTACACCGTGACCATATGTATACTCTGAAATTACATAAAATAAGCATAAAACATTTCTGCACTGCGACCATAGTTTTAAACTGAAACATTTATAACATTCGAAGTGAACATTTCTATACCGTAACTGTATTTACACATAAACAATATATGTGACAGTAGAATTAGCTATTTACGAACCGTGACTTTATTTACAAAATAAAACATAATTATATGAAAGATGCATCGAACATTTCCGCACTACGATCAAAGTTTTACACTCGAACATACTTGACGGTACAATTGAACATTTCTGCACCGCGAACATACTAACTCAGTGAAATATACATAACAGCAGCATTGCAGATTTCCTGTCAGCGACAATATTGACATTAACATATATTTGAAGATAACATTGAGCATCTTCGCATTGTGACCATATTGACAGACTTGCATACGTGTTACACCAGCATTGATCAGGTCCCGATTGCTAATAGCTTTAAGAGAAAAATAGCCAAAAAATCAACCTAAATCATATCTTTCCCATCCCAATTTGTTAGAAATGTTATTGACTAAACATTAGTGTTCTCTATACAGACGAGAGTAGCCTACAACGTGAGTAAAATTAAGTGATACAAACTTGACCATACCCTATTCTGACTTTATTCCCGTTGCAAACCAAATAGTATCTGGATAAAGTCTATGAACATATACATCAACTTGTAAAGGACATTGTTTTATTAGCTGATTTATGCAAGCAATGACAAAGAAAAAATCAACAAGGTCGTTCCGAGCAAAGTCGAAATGTTAATTTCATGAATACGAGGACCATGTTATATTTCATCTTTTATCATATCCATGTTTTATATATATACCCAAATTACTACCGATATATTTCTTTATTATTGCCAAAGAATGTAAAGCTGTTTACTTGATATAAAAGTTATTTACCAATCTGTGCTATATATTCCGAAGTGTTAATCTTTCCCTGTTATATATATCCAATATGCCCGTGTGTATAATAGTTGTGCATATATGTGTGAAATGAACAGTCAGGTTTTGTGTTTGTTTGAATTGTTAACCCCCAAATAAGACAACCGTTAGCAGGTAGTAAGGATAGCATTAGCCTGAATATTACATGTCCAGCATGCAATATTTCCGAAATAAGAACTTAGCTGAAAACGCTCTTATAACTAGTCAATCAACGTTTGAAGGACTGTGCTACTGATTTTTCAAGAAAAAACAAAGACATGTTTCAATTTAAAATATTTTACTGTTTTAAAACAAACGGGATTAGACGACAGGCATAGCCTATATAAGTCTTTTCCCACATAGACATATCCAACAAGGATGATTTATCAATATGAGGAACATGTTGTATCGAACTTTTATGTTTCCCTATTTCATTTATGCTATTGTTAAAACAATAGAAATATCATTTTCATATTTCCAAACAATGAAGGATTTGTACTTGGTATTCAAGTTCCTTAGGTTTTTGTGCGATCTATCCCAGTGTGTTAACACACCTAGTTTTTGTAACCATCGTTTATAATATTTTTCATACAATTGTTTCACGGTTTTTCTGGTGTTTGCGTTCATTTGAATTGTTCAACGGTGAATCCCCAAACAAGACAACCATGATACATCAACCTTATCATTAGGTGCTAAGCATGCATTTTTGTGTGTGTGATAATATTCCTTTTAAAATTGGTTATTTTGGTATCTATGATATAACAATATCAATTTAAACTCGTTTCTGTATATTTTGCTTTAATATATATATTTCAAATATTTAATCGGAAACACTTCTAAGATTAGACAAAACGATACCAGTATTTCACGTGGAAAAGCGCGTGAAGGTATTTATAGTCATACTGATATATACATAATGTATGTACCTTGCTTGTCATGATATGTCCCTTTATTGAAGAATATGTAGAAATGAAATATATTGTAGCATGACATGCATAAAACATTCATGTTCCAGAACACATTGTATGCAATGACGAATTTGAATACGATCTCCTTGCAAATAAATAAATACTCAATTCAAGCTTGTTTATGTTCATTATTTCATCGGAAACACTTCTAAGATTTGATAAATTGATAAAGGAATATCTTTTTTTCACGTGGTAAAGGGCTTATTTGAAGTAATACATATAGAAATGTATCATTCCCGCATTGGTATGTACCTTAAGTTGAAGATTTTGTAATTATGCAATATATTGTATCATGAACACATATATAACTATCATGTTCCAGAACACGTGGTATGTGAGGACGAATTTAAATACGCTCTCCTTGCTAATAACTGTCTGTATCCCGGTATGTCCACGCTGGTCACTCTGCTGCTCCACACCACCACTGGAGAGTAAGTCGCTAGTCAGCAGATGTTTCTGATATCAGCATTGTGAACACAACTTGGTACTGTAAAGATATATTCAAAATATATATGATTTTTCATTGCTGTATACATTGCCTTTCTTCAAGAGTTCCATGATAAAAGAAATGTATAGCAAGTAGTGTAAACTCGAGAAATGCAAATACACTCGATACATATGCAATAGATCAAATACTAATTTCTGATAAATTTATTTTAATAAATTCAAATATATTTGAAAGATATTGAATCAACACCAATAAAATGTAATGTGTAAGACAGATTAAAAATAATCCACTTTTACATTTCGTTTAAGTAATTAAATATCAACAATGTTATAATACATATTAAACTAAATGACCGGGAAATACTTAAAAGTAGTTAAATGAAATCCTTATTATTTATGTAAATCAGCTATTAGCGTTAACTATTGCAATCAAACCACGATATCACTATTTATATAATTTCAAAGTATCCTGTTCAGTTTAGTCGTTCATTGATTGATCAAAGAATTGTGTCAGCTTTGATACCATTGAAAAGATAAACACCACGACTCTCCATAAACTTATTGTATTTGTGTCTCCTTAATCGTGTAATTGTAAATTACTTCGTTTAACTGTTTTGAATGTTTCAGACGATAGATTAGAGCCATTTCGTAGAGTTGGATTTACATTGAAGAAATAACTTACATTAACATTGCTTATTTTTATTCCAGGGCGGGGCTTATTGGTCAGGAACCATGGCAACAGGTGTATGGGCGGCATTCTAGGAACGCTGTGTACCACATACAACTATGTAAAAGCATGTTTTTCAGAGGGTACAGCGGGCAGAGTTTTACCTGTGCTTCCGCAGATGCACATAAACGGTTTGTACATGAAAAACTGAAAAATAATAATAAATCGCATGGACGTATATTTTTTATTGGGATATGATTAAATGGAGAACAGAAATAAATAAATAAACTAATATGTCAAATAAGAGAGGAAAGCAATGACAAAAACGAAATTACGCGGAGCACCTATCATGGTTCCCCCGATAGATCCAGGAAAGTATCAATTTATATAGTTACTTTTCTTTTACTAATTTTTATATAACTGTACGTTTGTTTCACGCGGATTCAGTTAGCATAAATGATCATATATACAGTAACCTCCCCTTAACTACCTTTTGGATACACCTGTAGCACAGTTATGTCAGGATATTTCCGTTCACCAGGTAGCTCAATCGGTATGAGCAATGGTTTTACAAACTGAAGTTCAGGGACCGAATCTCGTTTTAGCGACGCCGTATTTTTACACTCAGAACACTGTTGTTGATAATTGTTTGTTGATTTTTTTTTTGTTTCTCCTAAAAGTCCTGCAAAGTATTATTTGTTTGTTGGAAATTATTTATAAATACACATTCACCATTTGATATAGCGCCCTATCTAGCTTACATAGCGTGGAAGGCCGGAGTGCATCCTTAAGATGTTTTTTTTCTACACGTGTAGTATATCTCCCAAACTAATAAGCTAGCAATAAAGCAAGTGTTATTACCTCTTTTATTATTTTCATTTCAGGTTTGGGGTTTGCTTGGTGGCTGTTTTAGACATCACAAAAACAGACCCACGTTTACAGCTAAACCCTGGCGCAGACTACAAATTGAAGGATTCTGATTATTGCTTTTATATTGCGGAGTTTAAGGAGGAATATGCCAAAATATGTTCTGAAGCCAAAACAGATCAGAAACAAACAGGAAATGAACCAAGTAAAAATCTAGGTAATTCAACAAATCGATTTTGATATTTTGTCAATCTTTCAACCTTGTTATCAGTAATGTATTTTTGTATTATTCAATGTCTACCGTAACATCTAGGAATTTTATTCTGTCAAAGAAACAATGATCTTTGATATTTGCAACATTTCAATTCGCCATTTGGAAATCAAGTCAAAATGACCGATATAACATTGTTGAAACAATAACAAGAAAACCCCCTCAAAACTGGGTAAATTGTTTATTTACAAGGTGAATAAGAACAGGTGTTCCAGAAGGGGTAAGCGTTGGCAAGTAGCTGACAATTGTGGTTATATTTTAGGTACGTTAACAAAGAGATGAATGTGGTGTTTTACTTGAGTAACATTTTATTATTTTTTCATTAGAACAAATATCGGAATTATTAGAGAAACTGCTGCAACAGGATCTGAATACACTCCAAGACGAACAGGAAGAAAGCGTCTTCAACAACACGATCACGTGCCAATGGGGTCTGGAGATAGCACGACGAATGCGTACAAAATCACCGGAAACCCGTTTATCAGACAGTGATCCTGACGAAAACGGGGTGGACACTGAGGTTGACACCCACGGGAAGACTGATCCCGGGGTTCCAAAGGTCCTACAAGTGTATGAAGATATGGGACAGGAAAGGTTCGTACCGCTTACTTAGTTTTAATAATGGATTGCACTCCCACTGCAGGAAAAAAACACTGGCAAATTTCACTGAAGTGCATAAAGTAAAACCTCTTTAATTTCGTTTTTGATATAACTGAACCTCGAATTGACAAGAGTGATAACGTTGTCTGGATGGCACAGTTGGTAAGAACGACTATTTAATGACCAGAATTCCAGGATATGAATCCTGGTCTTGTCCTGTTGAATTTTTACACTCAGAATCAGAGTTCAGCGTCATGAAATTATTAACATCGTACACAGTAACAACTTGTAGTTTCTTTTATGTTTATTTTATCTTCATTATTTTTTCATGTAAGTTCCGCAAGGTATGTTATTCTTTTCAGGAATGATTTATAAAGCTATATTAATGCCAGGAAATAATCCTTCATCAATAATTGCAGTTTTTGACATTGGTACGGGGATCCAACTTCTTATTTTAATCACTCAAATGTGCTTCTGCATGTAATAAGAATATTTATCAACATTTTTATCGTATTTTCGAATCAGCATAATTAACGTAAACGTTTTGTTTTGACATTTTTATTCCCCGACCGTAAAAAATCAGGGGATAAAAGTGGTCACATGGAGTTCGTCATACCGTCTGTCCGTAGCGCTTGTCCCGACGATAACGTGAGAATGCCAAATTCTAACTTAGTGTGCAGGTTGCCGATGTTGATGCGAAGAACCTTCTGATTTTTTGCGTGATTAGCTAGAAGTCAAGGTCTCGGTTGCTAAATTTAGAATTATGCCTGGTTGCGCTTTCCGGATGATAGCTTTAGCAAAAATGATCATAAAAAAACTTAAAACGTGGTGTGTGGCTTGTCCGAAGGATGCAAAGAATCCTATTGATTTTGAGCGTGGTCAGTCGGAGGTAAAGGTCACCGTTGCTAAATATAGAATTCTGCTTGGTTGCGCTTTTTCGGATGATAGCTTGAGCGCAAATTATCATAAAAAAAGTTAAAACGTGGTGTGTGGCTTGTCCGAAGGATGCAAAAAATCCTATTGATTTTGAGCGTGGTCAGTCGGATGTAAAGGTCACCGTTGCTAAGTATATGATTCTGCTTGGTTGCGCTTGTCCGGATGATTGATAAATTGAGAACGAATGATAATAATAATAATATACAACATTTCTATAGCACCCTATATAATATGTAAAATTACTCTTAAGCGCTTTAAAACATATGGATAATAGTAATGGTTTTAATTGTGAAAACAAAAAACAAAGGCTTACAATCACTTTAATACATTTAAACAAGCAATGTGCCCATAATTGAACAAATAAAAGGGTGGTATTTACATGACGCCTTTGCAAAGATTCTAAAATGCAGACGTGAAGAGGTGAGTTTTGATGTCCCTCTTAAACTTTTGGCCAGGGTATTTGACTTCCTAATAGCAGATGGTAAGCTATTCCACAACGTAGCCGAAACCCTCCCAAAGCATCTGTTTCCGTAGGTCACAGTTCGAGATTTTTGAACACACAAACAGAGATTGTGACTCCAACCGCAGTGATCGTGACGGCTGATGCAGGGTAACAATCTCCTGTAGGGACTTAGGAGCTGTTCCATTCAGTGCCTTGTATGTGTACACCAGAATTTGGTACTGCGACCTGTATCGTACAGGTAACCAGTACAACGATTAAAGCACAGGTCTGATGTGCTCTCTTTCGAGTACGAGTAATTAGCCGTGCTGCAGTGTTCTGGACCCTTAAAGACGCAGATGCAGACGACTAGATAGTTTATCAGATATACCTCAGAACAGGGCGTTACCATAATCCAACCGAGAGGTAACAAGTGAATGCACCAAAATTTTGCATGCATCTGCAGTTAAAAATCGCCGAATACAGCCGATGTTCATGATCTGGTAGTAACAGGATTTTGCGATAGCGTTCACTTGTTTCTCCATGTTCAGTGAACTATCTAAGTATATTGTACCCCCAGGTTAAGTCACAATAATTCTGGCACCGACCTTGAGCTGGAGAGCCATTGTTTGCTGCCACTTTGTCACTGAACTTGCTAACACAATGATAACACAAAGTTTAAGTATGGTGTGAGGGCTGCTTTGGTAGATGTAAAGAACCCTTTTGATTTAGAACTTGGTGCACTAGAGGTCAAGGTCAATGTCGCTTAATTTAGAATTCTTTTTTGTTGCGCTTGTCCAGGCGATAACTTTAGAACGAATGATCGTGTAAAGTTGTTCAAATTTAGTATGTGATCCGCCGTAGGGAATGAGAAGATCCTTATTGATTTTGGACGTGATCCGACGGATGTATCACTGTTAGTGGTGTGTTTCATTATTGAATCATTGGAAATATACACCAAGTCATTCCTTTTCATTTCACAATTTCCAAACCGGTACAGGTCTTACACGCTATCGCGTAGTCTATTCGCCTTTCGAAATCCGATTAAAAACCACTAACATTTATAATTTAGATCAACTTTTGTAAGTTACAGCTTCTTTCTAGCCATGAAACATGATAAGACAAACTGGAAGGGTGGTGGTAAGATATAAAATCGGTTTTAGGTATCAGAACCTGACCAATCACTAGGCTGATAGCTTAATGACAGCCATTTGAAAACTACATAGTAGTTACTCCCAGCTTAAAAGCCTATCATTTTCGCCTTTACACTGCCGTGATATTTAATTGGTCTTTATCTAAGTCATCAGGCATGTCAACTCGTATAAGTGCTGTGAAAACAGTTTTCGATTGTGTCATGACATTTTGTGGAACGAAACCCATGGATTTTAAGGAAGATAACTTCTAAAAATTATCATTTTAATATTGTGGTCAGACTGATAATACATTTTTGTAATTCAATTGTTTTAATCGAACCAATAGACTTTTGATATTTATTTCAGCATAATGACAGGCCCACCTCCACCAACACTATATGCCAGTAAACAAAAGACGTTATGTCACGTGATGATATCGCCCCGCCCCGTATGCTGTTTGGAGTGGGGGACGGTATGTTTTCATCCTGATCACTTGGAATCTTACTATCCTGGGATTTTTTTCCTCGAAATATGCTTTGACTGGATGACAATATATGGGAAAATATGTTTTATGCAGGGAAATGTAGGAAATTAGAAAAAATCTGCAGTGAAAATAACTATTGTCTAAATAAACATAGCCTAACCAGTGATGTTTCTTTCATAAATGAAAATGTCGTCCTGTATGAACAAGAAGTAGTACTAGTCAATAAATAACAATTCGAAAGGAATAAATAACTGTTACAAAACTATAAATAGTACGACTGATGCCACATGTGGTGCTAGAAACAGTGGCACTTCCGGAGTACGTGGCTTGGCTTTCGGTGTTTTTATCGATGTATGATAATAGTGTCTGTATAGATTTTGTGCTCATTTCATAACTTTCAGTAAATTTGTAATGATTCAAAAGAAAATATGATTTCAAATACATATTCAGCAGTTTGTTTTTAAGCTCCTTACAAATCAAATCAAGTATGTTTTTAACATATTTATTTTAAATGGTTATATATCACACAGTGCCAATTGAATAAGCTTATCGGTGTCATGAAAAGATTAACAAGTTTCTTGATCAAGGAAACCACGATTTCAGCTGTAGTATTTCAGTATTTATCACAGATGGAAACACTCTCGAAGTTTTTTAGATACTTTACAATCGACAGATTTTATGGCAGTCATTATGCGGGGTTCCAAATGTGGTACGAACTAATATGATTTCAGAATTGGTAGCTACAACAGGTCATGAAGTATACCAATCACTTTCCGATAAAAAATAGGGAATTGTATCGTATATCATTACTGCATAGTGACTTTAACAAAATTATATTTCAGTAAAATTGTAATTGTCCATGTTTTTAAATTGTAACAGGACTGTGAGCACTGTACGTACAAGAATGCACGCGATGGCAGATGGACGAACCAGCTGATTATACTGGCAGCAGAACACGCATGCGTCGGGATCCACAATTTTATCGTCCCTCTCCGGTCACATTTCATCAGTATGAACTCCCTCAGTCCGATCATTCTGCTTTTGAATGAAAGGTTAATTATTATTTCAAAAACATTGTTTTCTACTACCTTATATCAATACATATTCAATTTTTATCTGTGAAATATAAAGTTTTGTCGTGATAAGTAATAGATAGTACATTTTTACCAGTGAAATATGAAGTTTTACAGTAATAAGTAAAAGATATTACATTTTTACCAGTGAAATATATAGATTTACAGTGAATGTAGCATATAACATTATTACTGATGAAATGTAAACTTTTTCACTGATTAGTTATTATAATTCATGAAATATAAGTTTACAATTAAACCGCTTCCCGTGGATTCTTATCAATTCCCTTCTTTCGATACATTATCAAACCCCTTTTAAACGTCCATCATTTTCTGAACAAATGGTGACATGGTATGGAAAGTCAACAGTTTGCAAAAGAGACTTAAGAAAAATGGTTACACTGCTTTGTATTGTAGTGTAGTTCTTTTGTTGCAGACAATATCTATTACCTAATTTTAAAGGTGCAATCAGCTATGTGTGTCGTACGTTCATCTTTGCAGTACTAAACACAAATTCCCTTTCACTTACTACTATTCTTTGTGGTTTAGTTGTGGAAAAATATATTTGTGACTAAAAATAAAAAAGTCAATTTTACAGTGTTTTTTCTTTAATGGATTAGTAACCTAACGTGTTAACTTTGGAAAGGTGTAATTATAGACATTATAAAAGACATTCCTTTGCATCCAGTAAATAATTATGGATGAATAATATCCTTTAATATATATTTTGTATCGTTAATACAGGCCGACGAACCTATTTTTGGAAACAATAGGGCATTTTCCTTTAGTTTACTGGATTCAGGGAAAGATTACAAGGTTGGTTTATTATTTTTTATATTTTTTGTTTATACGTCAAGTATCATCTTATCTGTTGATATCATTAATTCATACAATACTCATTCATAAAGAACATTTGAATTTTGAGTAATAAAGTATAGTCCAATTTCATTCCTTTTTATAATACGTCCCATTTATTCAATGCTTTATTGGCTGTCTGAACTAAGAGGAGGTCCACCAATCTGTACTCTGTTGATTCGAATTTAAATTCATTGTATAATTTTCACCTTAAAGTCAATTTTTAACTCACATACACGATCTTAACTATAATTTACAATGTCAGCTACCTGATGAGCCCATTTTCATGTCATTGTGCAATATTTTAATTCTTTTTAAACTAGTATAGACGATCTGATCTTAGCCGGGATCCACAAAGTCAGCCATCTGGTGATAGTAAATCACGAGACAAAATCAAAAGAAATGGAGAAGACTATGGTGGACTCTGAATCTATAGTCGCGGTTCAAACAATTCTTAAGTGAGTGTTAATTATGCATTGTGTTTACATCTTTATTGCAACAGTTTGTTATAAGTTTTGCTCCATTGTCACTACGCAAGTTCTTTATATGATAACGTGACATGTACTTGGATTTGACCTAGGTTTGAAAGACTGGTGTCGACGATGATGAGGAAGACGCTAAGTTTTGCAGGATCTTATTATTCTAGGTCTTTTTCAAGGATATCCATGTTAATATTTCATTTGTTTTTGTATTTTGCCCTTGTTTTATCAATTTTGAGTTCGTATACAATTTTTGAGTCATCGGTATTCTCCTTTTTTCATCTATATATGTTATAGTTGTTATCGCGAAACCCCAGAACCAAAGTATGGCACACAAGGCTTGGACAAACGTCACCAAATGTCTTTGTGGTCAATGAATAAGATCATATTGATATTTATGTTAAACGTGACACGATGTATTAACATATGTTGTTAATATCCGGTTGTATACTGACGTCATTTTGACTACATTGTATACATCGGTCTTAAAGACAAGATAGCACTGTATTAAAGTCATTGCTCGGAAAACAGGTTTTCAGTGAAACTAGGAGACATCACGTTTTCAATTTGCATATATGAGATTTCAATAAAGTGATATGTTTTCGATGACCCTTGATACAGGTTAAATGAAAAAGGAGCGTCGTTGCATTATTAACATGTATTGGTTGTCTCTTAGCACATATGGTATCATAAACATGTTGGTATTTAGAGCTATTGTGACTGCATGTGCTGCACACAGGGGCACTCTTGCCCCGTAAAATTTACGGCTTTTACTGTTAAAATATCGATACTGGCCAAGTGTGAATTTCGCCCTTCATATTTATTACACCTAGTATGGCGTGTACCACATATTCGCTGTTGTGATTAATTTGCCGTTTTACGGAAGGGAAAAATAGGTAAACGTTTACTGGTACACATATTATAGAGTTATAGCTGACGTTAAACTTTATTAATTCTAAATATTATCAGCAGAACAAGGGGGACACAGTCTTTCACTTCTTAAAAGAAGTAATAGGCTGAACGTAAGGGAAAAAACAATTTGATGAGCTGATTGTAAATCATTAGAACTATCTTTCAGATGCTAAATATCCGTCACCAACAATACAATAATTTGCTGAATATCCGTCACCAGCAATCAAATAATTTGCTGAATATCCGTCACCAGCAATCAAATAATTTAAAGCCCGATTGGATAAACGCTGGAACAACCTGTATGTTTCAATAACTAAATAACTATATAACGTTTCGTATTGGGGACTAATTTTAATCCGATCTGGATACATAGGCAACCATGCCTGCGTCCAGCATTATTATATCATTATATGGAATATTGTATCATTATGTTATTTTTTTAGACTATTTCCAAACACCAACATCATTACCGAACTCAGTCAGGCTTCCAACATTCGCTTCATGCAGTTCCAGGCTAACAACGAGTATACTCGCCAAGTGTCTAAACTGGAAAGGGTAAGAAAGATATCTTCACCGTATTGAATAAACACATTTCTTTTATTCGCTGTATTCCACATGGTGATGAGGCACAAACTTAAAAAAATGATTTTTCATTCTTTTGCCTTTAAGAACCATTGGTGAGTCTTAAATAAATAAAATGACTATATGTAGCAGTACACATGTGTCTGTAGTAATAATGTTAATTTTTACCGACGTGGTTAGCATGTATGGCGTTAAGAACCTTAGCTGACATTTCAAACTCTCTAAGACCAAACAAGAATTGAATAACAAGGCAATTCTCATAATCGCATACAGTCACATCGAAGGTAGTCAAGGGGCTGACTAGCTTATATAGATAAAGTTTTAGATCTGGCCACATCCGGTCATTGTGGTAATTCCTATGTCCGGTATTATGTTTGATGCATTAGGCGAACAGTAATTGCGGTTTATAATTTTCATAGAGAATAAAGGGTATGTCAATGGTGTATCACTGAAGTAATTTTTCTAGAACTCTTTGAAGAAGATTTTCCTGGTAAAATATGCATGTGTTATTTTATTGCAGAAACTAAAGGAACGAATGAGTTCCACGTTATCCCATATATTCCGAACTCCGTTTGCTGCGGGACAGGTCTTTAGTGCCAGTATGCTGGACAGTCTTCTGTATCAGGTTTGTCGTAAAATCGTTTTTATCTGAATAGAAAATGTAAAATATATGTTTTAATATACTTTTTATATCGAGGTAAGGGTACGATATATTTTAGACTTTCTCTTGACAATACTGTTCTTTAGCAAACGAACTATATAATCATCATTGGATCGTGAACACTTTGTTGTTGTGATATATTTTTTGTTGAAGAACTGATTTTGCATCGGAGAAATATTATATTATGATTATTTCTCTCTATTTAAAAGAAAATTAATGAATTTTCGTTACATGCATACATTGTATTACCATTCTAGCAACAAAATGTCATTGCAAGTTGAAGTATTATTTTGGACTTTGGAGAAAGGAAAACGTGAACAAGTTTTTGACATGAATAGTCGGATTTTGTTTAGTTATTAAAAAGGTTTTAATCAGTTTTAGTAAATAATCCTTATGTACACAGCTAGTAGTCATTTTTGTGATCACGCCTTGCTTTGCACATATCATGACATTTACATTCCATAGCAAAACGCAAGCGATATTTCAACGTTCCATTTTTTGGCATTAGAAGTCCGTTTTTTCAAATTGTGAGAAAATATGCTTTTTACAAAGTGTAAAAACCCTTTTTTTAAACATCGATAAAAACAAATGTTGTTTTGAAAACTGACAATACAACATTAATTGAAAATGAATCAAATCGACAAATTTCTACGAAAACACAATTGAACTACTTGTTTTTTTCTTTCAGACGTTCGTTAAGGGTTATCTGATTACATTTGTACGACTGTTACTGGGAATAGATGCCGAGGACAATTCTGGTCACTTATCAAGTGTAAGTAAAAACGATCAGCAAAAGTTGCACATTTCATTTGTTTTAAGTTTTAAGATTCGACAGCATATACTATACTCTTCTGCATTGGTGATGATCGTTGACGTGGAAGAAAGTGTTGAACGGTGGTTTAATTTTTCGAGATGCATATTAGGTTGTCTTCATATTGATATATTGCACGGAGGCTGGAGATATTGAGGGTCAGAGAGGGATCCACTGATGCATTGAGCCAATGCAAAGAAAAGGAGATTTATTACCTCTGGCCGCATATTTCCACTAAAAAAACCACTTAAATTTTGGGGCTGAGCTATGTGAAGGCTTGTCATTGATCCAGTATGTGTGCTAGGATGAATATTATATATAAATATGCAATTAGGGTTTATATGGAAACAAATATTAAGAATATTTTTAGTTTTTTCTTCGCCTCATTTGGACTTAACATTTTACAACAAAAATCACTGGAGACAAACTATTTGGGTCAGTTCTGTGAGTGTTTTACGCTGTGAATGCTGATAGTTTGCATTGAGTCTCAATAGAGTATAACAATAATGTAGAAATGTAAAATATAAACTTCATAAACTTTATCTATTTTACAACAATTGTGAAACAAATTATTTCAACTTATATTAACCACTTTTGTTGTCCCAGATATTAGCGCGTGGGGGGTCTTATTGTGGGAGTAAACCGAAGTACCCGTAGAAAAAAAACACCTGGTCGGGCAGTCACCCAATAACTTTTTCACGTCCGATCGGGAAAACGAACCCCGACCGCCTTTCACAGTGCACTATCCACTTAATAACCCAAACACTCCTACAATAATGTAGTGGAACCGCTGCTAGGATTTATTTTTATTCAAAACCATTAGTTTGTGAAGAAAATTAAAGCAATAGTTCGATATTTGATTATGGATTATGGGATGAAGATGTTATTGTTTGTTTTTTATATAGATTCGTGTTAAAAACATGACTTTGGCAAGGTACCGGACATTTGGAGAACTATACCACGGAATGGCTACCACAACTGGGGAAGTACCTATTGCTATTTATAGAACAGAGAAATCACTATCCGGAACACAAGGAAATGACGTAAGATTTTTAAATGGTCTGAATTCAGCAAAAAAAATGTTCTTATCTGAAAGCATCAGTTATTCTATCGCAGTTATGCCTTACTTGTAAGAATAATTAAATGATTTTTTTGAGGAAGTCCTATGTTTAAAAAGTTCATAAATACAAATAGCTCGTAATCAAGTTTTCGAAAATTTCCTTTATAGCGTTCGCTATGAAATACAAATTGTAACGCAGTATGTTGCTATGTTAACATGAAATTTGGTCGAAGATGCTAGACTGTCATTGTCGACATTATTTGGCAATCGTCAATTAACGATTAAGGGATTCCACATGATATCTTTATATATTTAATTGTTTTAACTAGCTTACTAAACAAAAATAAAGGTGGTAATGATATTTTATTTTAAACACAGGACATCTTCAATATATTATAATGTTTCAAATATTTTAATGATACAGTTGTGGTAATTTAACTAATATGTTTCTGTGATGTACCGATTTGTATACGGACACGGCTAGCAGTGTGTTAAATCAAAAACAGAAAACAAAAAAACAAGATAACATCGAAATGTAGGCAAAATCGTTAATTTGACTGAATCACCGTCATTCACATAGTGGTGTTCAGGTTTGTGTTTAATTTTTTTGTTTAACATCGGTTGGATTATTGTGAAGTTAACCCTAATCCCTGAGTGTGTTTGTTTTACATTACTTTCGTATAGTACTGGTGAACCGATTAATCTTAAGAATATGCTTAGATTCTTGTGAAATGGGGATGTTTGCTGCTGGCACATTGTATATCCTTGTCACCTGTTGTGAAATTGATTATCAATTAAGGGAATATACTGGCAAACGATGTATATGTTCTTCGTCGTCTTCTATAAGTATTTGAAGCAGGGTCCTTTTAAATGTTTTTTTTTTCCATTGTGCTCCTACCGGCAAAAACAGAAACTAAATCTTCCAATGTTTCGGATTCCACTAGTGATCTCTAGGTGGCTCTTTATCCTTTGCAAGCATTGAAAAAGAAACTGTTGTTTTTTTTTTTGCTCAGGGCACAGTTAATAACAATGAAGATGGAAAGAAGAACGGACTGATTGAAGCACACAACCGCCCATCTCTCCCGAAGGGACCCTTCCTGGGCAATCATATGCAAAACAGCGATATGAACGACCTTGTGAGGAATCGGCTAGAAAGTCTCGGAATGGACTCGGATGATTACGGTATTTAAATAATATCATGAACATCTTTAACATTTTAATTGTGATTTTGTCTTAAAACAAGTCCATTGTATTGTTAGAAAATGGCAATCTGTTACGTTTTCGTTTCTGAAATACGGTAAAATTTGATGTTTGTATAAGCACTTATTTGGCTTACGACCCTATTACATAGAGCACAATACTTGGTCCACGACCAGAGCGTTTCTTACTAATTGTGATGCATCATGACCAATTCCGTAAGAATGAATAGAGACTTGATTATACTGAAAAAAATTGTCCCTGCCAAACGAAATAGTTTTGATTGGTGTACTTGGTTAAAAACCACTTGTTCTTTTACAATTCAAGTAATGTATTTTCTTTTGTGAAATGAACAGTACAATGTAGATTGTATGTGTATTAACCAAAAATATTAGAATATGAAACAAATCAATTTATCAAACAACTGTATATGCACAACAAAGGTGTTCCCCTTAAGACAATATATAAAAATCGAAATTCATTCATAACCCGTTCATAGGAGATTTTAAGATCTGTTCACGTGCACAGAATCCAGCATATGAGATTGTGAGAATGTATTGAAATTTGTTTATATATTTATAGCTCATATTTAAAGCATTTAGTGAAGCAGATTCAATAAAATAATTTCATGCTGACTTTGATGTTTGTCTTCGTTTTAATTTTCAGTCGTAGACGACTTGAAAGACAATGAAATTTCATATGTTATACTTAACCCAACGCCAAAGAGAAAACTGAGAGTTGGGGATAGTGTGTAAGTTTGATATAATAAGATTACCTATGAAGCTTTACTCCAGTATTTACAAGGCGTTAACTGATCAGAAGTCTGAAACGCCTAGAACAATAACATTCCCTATACCTTTAAAGGGTGATATAAGTTTTGTACAGTTAGTTACACATTATGTGTTTGTACCAAATAATCATATACATAAATCACACTGTTGATCGTTTCATATTCGATAACTGTTAAAGTATTTCTGCTCTTTGCAATGTTGTGACAACAGTTAAATGCTTAATAAAAAAATTTGTTGTGCGTGTAATCAATCATATAGGTATCAACAACAGATACATAACCATCTTATTTTCGTACATAAATAAGACATTATCTTAGGGAGAAAGAATAACACTATTGAAATTGTGTTACGTGGTGTGGTTTCAGATATGTGGTACAGCCAAGCAGTATGGCAGCAATACCCCACAAGCAGCGGTGGAATCGGGCGAGGTCAATCAGACTAAAAAATAAAGAACAAAATGGAAACGTCAGGACTCCACGATCCACGTCACCTTATTCGACCACCCCTCGGTCAACTTCTCCAACGTTGTCGTCTCCAGGGTCCTCGTCCCCAATTACACTCGATGCTAACGAAAAAGGGCAACCACCGAGAGTGAACTTTATCTCGCCTTCTCCTAGTCCAGAACAAGATAAAAGCGGAAGATTTACTATCGTACCTTCCTCCGAACGACTAGGAAAAACACGAAACAGCATTAGTTAGTGTGAGTGTGTGTCTTTGTTAATATCGTCGTTGGTTATGCTTTTTTCGAGTTATTAAGTTTTCGAAATTTGTCATGTTTTTCAACATGTACGGTTAACATGTAGCTGAACAAAGCGATGAGCAGGCATTAACGTCTCTGGTAATCGGTAGACTACCACCGTGTTTCTAAGAGTTATCAATTATAACTTCTTTCTTTATAAAGCGATTGCTGTACGTATGCTGCCGCATTTATTTTTGTATTTCTTCACGATTCCGAATATTGTAGCTAATCATAATCTTTATCACCAATTAATAGCGTTACCCACCAATTTCGACTACGAATACTGAATTCCATAATGAATAGCCATTAGCCTGTCATAATTTTGTTGTAAATATTAACTTAAATGATCAAGAAATATTCGTGATCAAAATGATTGTTACACAATAAATAAATAATTCAATGTGGGCAATATTTAAACGCTGTTGAAATAAGTATTCGAGCATAATGATAGACATCCTAAATACACCAGGATTATCGTTTTTCTTACGCTGTCTTCTCCCCTGGAATATGTCATAACCAAATAGCAGGCTCAGTGTGTGCTACTTTGACAAGCTTTGCAGTCATTTTGGAAATATGTAATATGAAAGTTTTTATAAAGGCATACACCATCGTCTCATCGTTGTACAGGTAAACAATATAAATCACTCAATCAAAGCTTGACAAAGGGACGTTTACTACGTACATTGTTTGTTTATAAAGATAATTATAGAAACTGTATCAACCTTTCGTTGACTTGAGACCTCTCAATTAACTAGCCGCGTGCCTTCAATTTTACCATTACATATTTAAGGGGGGCAGAAATCGTAGGTGAGCGCAACATATGGAATGTCAAGGCTGAAAGCAAGATAATATCAGAAGTGACTGTTATATGGGCATTAAAACAGATGGCACAAGATCCCACCGGTTTATCGCACATGATCAAAGGCTTACAGTGACCTTTATAGTGTCTTGTTTGTTAAAATAAGTAGATTTTTATCGAATACGAACTTTTGTTTTATTAAGTAATGTTGGTTTGTTCTTATATAAGAACGCAAGAATTATTGTGAAATTAGTTTAGAATTTCTACCAAATCAACACCCTTGAATCGGTGTTGGATTTCCCCAATTTAAATACTCAGGTATAGTTCTCAGTGTAAATAATTGAATTTCTCTCAATAAAAAACCCCATTAATGTTAAAAAACCCAGGTATATTTTTGGATTGGTATCAATTAAATTTCAATGTTTATCGCAAGATATAAATACAAAAGTGTACCACTGTATTGTTTCCGATGTCTAATTTATAATTGCCAAGGCATAATTTTTGCAATCTTTTGCAAAACATCACTCACAAAAATCGTCTTTTGCTGTGAATTTCTCTTATAAATGCCAAAAAATAAAAATAAAAATGTCATTGTCATACATTCAAAATACCATGTCATTGATAATCGAATGCCAAACTGTTTTAGCTCACCTGGCCCGAAGCTAATGCCATGGCTTATCGTCCGTCGTCCTGTTTCCCTCGTCCGTCAACTTCTTCCTTTAAATCGGTACTGGTCCTTAACGGCTCTGAGGATTTTGACCAAATTTAGTCAGGAGCATTATTGACCAAAGGGTTCTCAGTTTATATAAACGGAGGGTATAGCCCCCTAGAGGCAGAGGGGCGGGGCCAAATAGAGGGAAAATAGGTAAATCTCCAAAATTCTTCTTCCTATCGACCAATATAAGGATTTTGATCAATTTGTTATAGAGCATCACGTTGAATAACTCCTGATTGCATTATCTAAAAATTAACAGGCTCAAAACAGCCAAATACATTCCGATCTTTTCTTTTCAAAAAATAATTGCTTAAATCACAATTGTTTTATGTTTTTTATGTCTCGTGAATTTGGCTGTTGGCGGTCCTCGTCGGACCTGTTTGAGTGACTGCTTTAATAAAGCGTACACACTCTGCCGGTAGGCCTATCGATGTCCGCATCAGTCCGATTTGCAGACGATCATTAAACTACTTTAAATCGTGTATTTTATAAAAAAAAAAATGAAAGATTTATCCGCATATAAGATTTAATCTTTTTTGAAAGTTATTGTTGTGAAAACAACATCGTTTTATCCCAATTCCATGTTCTGCCCATGCCAGGCGACAACAGCTATTTGCCACATGCTTTCTTATTAATTCCATGTGTTGGCATGGTTACTTAAACAGCGTGTATGTATATGCACCTGTCATTGTTAGACCATTTAGATTTACAGGTGGAAATATGTCAGTTGTAGCTTGGTCAATGATTTATTATACTGAAAATGATCATATACAAATGTAGGAGATGGGATGACTTTCATGTCATTTTGACATATTTCTAGTTTTTGAAGGGATTTTAATCAAACTTCTTCTAGAGTATCTAGAGCACCCCCAAACCCACACCAACCCCTAAGGTCCAGATCAATCCCTGAAGGCTACCTCCTTGGGACATAATATGGACACTCATTTCTTGGCGTCTTATCCTCCAAAACAGATTTACATGTAGTTCTTCTTGCAACTTTGCTTCTTGTACTCTTTTGATAACCCTGTTTGCTACTCAGCCGGTTTTGAATTGAAGTAAAATACTAGATGAGCTATTAAGGCCCCTGTGACTCTTGTGATGGTAACTATAACAACCAAAATGTTCTTATATCTTCTATATATCCTGCCGTTATTGGATTTTGATTTAACTGTGTCAATTTCGTTACGAAATAATTTAAATTGGTGCGTCTCCGATATCACATTCATCCCACAGGCTTTTAATTACTACAGCATTCCAATAAATTCAACATATCTAACTTAACATAACAGTATGGCGTCAGTTGGCGGCAAATGTCTGAAAAATGAATTATTAATTGGTGCAACACAGGATACGTTTTTTATGATATCTTGGGATAGAACTTCTAATTATTTGTCTGAATGTAGTTCTGAACAAAAAGTTACTGAGGATTTAACGAGAATATTTTCGAAAACTGGCATGAATAATTAACAAATGCTTATCGAACAACTTCCTGATTGACCTGCCTATGCCTTTATATGTGACTGCTCGTTGTTTGACGTGTCTTCCCCTGTGTGTGTGTGTGTGTGTGCGTGTGTTAGGAGGGAGGGGGGGGGGGGTTTGATAATGATTCTTCCACAACCTTAAATTACTCATTCGCCACGTCGTTGTATTGTTAAGTGTAGGGGCTTGTACTGTCTAATATACGCAAAAATGTTCGAGTGATTTAGATATTTATAAATGTTGTAGTTTTACTTTCATAAAATATAACAAGTGCATATAGTTACCGATGTGTTCATTTACCAATTTAATGTAATGAAATAGATATTCCTGAATTTCATAAATCAATTTCCAACATCACAAACATTCCGCAGCCGTTATATCAACAAACGATTTTGTAAATTACATGATGCCCTGAATTATCGAATTTAGTTCATTTTGATTAAGAGCATCTTGCTAATTTCGCAGGTTTTTTAAAAAGAATTCCGTCAGTTATTCTATTTCACAGTGTCGCTAATTTCAATCGTACAAATTTCTTTTCGTTCTAGTTTTAAACTGTTCCCTTAGTTTTTATTTCTTTTTACTTACTCTACTAGGTATTGTTTTAGTCTAGCCTAATTTGTTGTCGGTAAGGACAACTTCGTTAGTTTTTGAATTGGACAGATGCATTAGTACTTGCTTTAGACGACTTCATTAGTTCTTATTTTAGTCGTGCCTAGTCAGTTCTCGGAAAAGACAGTGCTAATTATTTTTAATTGACAGTTAAATTAGTTTTTTAAACGTCTCCATTAGTTTTTGTTTTAGACGGCTTCATTAGTTTTTGTTATAGACAGCCATATAAGCTCTTGTTTTAGATGCCCCCGTCAGGTTTTGTTATACAGCCCTGTTAGGTCTTGGCCAAGACGAGTCCGCCGATTCCTGTTTCAAACAGTCTCGTCAGTTCTTGTTCTAAGCATCTAAGTAAAGTCCTGACCTGAACAAATTCATTATTATTTCTTGTTTAAGGTAGAAGTTTTGTTTACTTTTACTTTAGATAGTTCCGAAAGCATACCACTGCTGTAAAAAGTCAGTCCTGTTAAACAGTGGAACTTTGTCTTATTTTATATAAATATCCCGGCGCCAGTAGAGTTTCGTTTAAGACTGTTACATTATTTTTGTCTTAAACATTCCTTAAGTTCTCAATTTTATATGTAAACAATTCAATACTTTGATAGCTTCCCGCTGAGTTTATTCTTTGTCAACAAGTAGTATTAGTTTCATTGTATTGTAAGCGCTGTTATGTGTCTTCTGAAACTTTTCCTATATTTCCTCCCTTTAGTTAATTCGGGTTTCCCCCTTAAGACGTCATCGTTTGTTGAACTTGCTTTATACTCTTCTGGTAGTTTGAATAATTGAGATTCCTGCCAGTACCATTAGGAAAAGAGTTTTAAATGTAATCTTTAAATTAACATTAAGTATTGTTGATACTGCGATTCGGTAGTATGATGATATAGCATAATTTAGCTATTTTTTAAATAAGTATTTTCCTCTCATTATTTTTATAGATAATGCTAAAATATTCTTGCCTTATATGATAAACAATATGCAAACATACTCGTTGTCCTTTGGTTAAAAATCGATAAAGTAATCGGTGATTATGTTGTGAAACCGACTATTTTACTATGTGTAAATATCAGTAATATAACTGTACATTTTCTTTCACTAAAATTAAAACCATTTCCGAAGCAGTACATTTAGGCTTCGGATGCAGGATTGCTTTATTTTAAAGTGAATACCATGATCTAATTTCTCCTGATCAATAGATTTGCCTGCATTATTTAATGTTTTGAAGAAATAACAGCGAAAACCATTAAAAAACAACGAGAATATATCTATGCAAATGACGTCAAACTGTATTTATAGTTTGTTGTCATTGTTTGATTTTTCATGAACCAAATGATCTGAGATTGCTATTATATCGTTGATACCTGATGTTTTGTTGTTAACCATATTGTTATGTAAACCTGTCATGAAATGATTATCTTTTGTATGATTTTCATAACCAAAATAACGAATAAAAATTTGTTCAAGGATATTACTTTTTTTTTTATATATTTTGTCTATGTAATTTAATTTTAGGCTAATCCTCCGATCTTTAAGTTTATCATTGGAGGAAGAACCGACATTATCGCATATCTTAAAAAAGAAAGACAACACATAAAGTGAGGACGTAGTATACAGTATCACAGTTTTTGGCGCGGTATTCTTACTTCTGATTGGTTTGAATTACCCAGCGATGAAATCACAGCACTAGGCTGTGTTTTATACAAAATTAAACAAAATGAATAAATATTCATTGACAATGACCATAACAGTGATGCCTGCGTTTTTAGATTAAATTATGAGGGATAACCATACTTATTTTTGGGATTATACGGTATATTCCGAAAAAGTAACTTTGTGCACTTTGTGCATAAACAATTACGTGAATTTAAAAAAAGTGCACACATTTTTTCGGTATATACCTTATACCCAAAAATAATCCAAGTTATTTCCTAATTATTTTTAACATATTGTCAGGTATTTCAAATCCAGGTTTGTATCGCAGACCGCCTTTCAGCGCTCCAAACAACATGCCCACCTATCTCGTCCTGTCTCACTTAGACTACTAATTTATTTCTTTTAATTGAAATTGATCATTTCAGTAAATCCATGACAATTTTGGGGAACACAGAAGAAGAACAACTTTTAGAGTATATAAGTGTAACCAACAATATTTGTCAAATGAAATAAACGTGCTCTAAATAACAAATAATTTATGAATGAAAATAAATATATAAATGAATATCGATAAAAATGAATATTACGAAAACACAGAGAGCAGACTGCGTTCCAGACTCATATAATTCCCTACATCCCAAGTGGCAGTTGCATGATACTTAAGCATTGAACTGTTTTTGTATGATGTTTATGATCTATTTGAATGACACGGCTTTGCAAGCAAACAACATAATGCGCGCTATTTTAACAAACACTTCAATGTTATTCCACAATTCAGTATAATTACAATTGCGTATGATATGGCTATAGGGTGATTTAAGTTTTTCAAAAGAACTCTGAGCTGAAAGTTAGATTTGAAATTGTTTCGATTTTTCTCCGGAACAAATTTAGCGCATGGATAAATAAAGTGAATACCGTAAATCCGACCTTGCCCTCCACGAGGGAGTTATTTTTGGAAGTTAATTCGAACTTTTCTCTTTGCTCATTTTGTGAAGAATCCATACGTGAATTTATTTGTTGATTGTATGGGAATCTGACTACAGTCTGTAGTGTATATAACAGCCTCGTTATTTGACATGTCGTCAGAAACAGTGGCTGCAAGACGCGTGAAACTGATAGCGTTTGAAGTAAGTGATCTTGCGACGGAGCACAGGGGTTCATTACAATTGTCTGACATGTTTATGTTTGCTGTGACTCATATCAGTAGGTCTGTAACATATGTGTCAGTAGGTCTATACAATATGTGTATTTCAGACATTTGTAACGAACCCCTGTTGGTCAGTGTAGTGTAACAGACGATATTTTCGATAAATTGCATAAGCGTTAAAATTGTTTCCATTGCCGGCATTGGTAATTTCAACCGATGTGCATTTTGTACGATATTGCAGACCTTGGTCTTGTTTTTTTGTTGCAATAAAAGTATTTTTTATTTTATTTTTTATTTTGCACATAAATTTACAATGATATTGTCAAATCTCACAATGCCTAGCGATATTTCAGAAGCCGTCATGTTTATTTACATTGGATATTGTAGTTCCGGTCAGTGTTGTATTAATACGCTGAGAAGTATGCCTCGTGCTGCATGGTAATTAAAGTCCCATCAACGACACAGCTTTCAAAGAGGCTTTATAGTGACAATGCCATGCAAATGTAAATATATATGATTGACGTCACACTACCATATTCAATAACGCCGGTTGTACTAAACCTTTGGACATTTTACTCTCATGACGATCATACTCTCCCTGTAATATAACATGTTGTTAAATGTTTAAAATATTCTTATTTTATGTCTATATTAAAAGTCTTCGAGCATAATTTTAGTATATTTGCTCTATACTAAATATTTGCGGGAAGACTATATGTATTGACCCCAGTCCTAAAAAAAATACTGTAATATTTCAGTATTCCAGTTCATATTGAGATTTCTTGTTTAAGAAAATAACTCTTGATTAAATAGTTACAGTTTATATAGTGTTACACCAGCTTGGATATAGCTACAACTTTCACTCATTTACAAACATAGAAAGGGTCTGTAGTGTCAGTGTGTCCAGTAAGTCGTACAGCAAAACAAATGATGAAAAACAACAGGTGAATAAGTCTAATAGAAATGGTATACATCAGTCACATGGTTGTCTCATATTATCTAATAAGGATTTGTAACTCAACGCTACACGTTTTCAATTTAGAATTAATGACCACCAGCACAAATAACGGAGTTTTGTGAAATAGTATGCTGGAGAAGAAAATTGAAATGGCTTTCTACTTTAGATACACTGATATTGATTTCACGAGAGTTTGTGGTCTATGCATTACTGTTTTTATTAATTACTTTAAAAGTCTATTTTAGAGATCATTTATTTTCCTAGATTAAATGGAATTGTCAATTTCGCTGGCCCCCCCCCCCCGCAATATGCAACATAGAAAAGGTTTAGGGGGTAAGGAAAGGATAAATACATTTGCTACACTGAAATATTATTTTGTTGGTTGTCTTACGAGGAGAAACTGAAACCGCGAAAATAGCAAAACAATCATACTCGCTAATAAAACCATCTTAACAGTATTGTCGTAAACTATATTAACAAATTGATAAACATCACATGTTTTATCTCATTGTCATAACTTTGATCTAGCTTAGGAAGACGAGAACAATAGCATGTCATAACTATTTACACCTTTATATCATTCTAGGGACACGGGCTGAACAATACAAATACATATGAAAAGATTGACAGTTGTCTGCCGTGGTTAAGAAAATGTTGGCAGTGTCTGCTGTAGTTAAAGGCATTTTGAAAATTGTCTGTTGTGGTTTAGGACATGTTAAAAGTTGTCTGTTGTGGCTAAAGACACGTTGACAGTTGTCTGTTGTGGTTTAAGACGCGTTGACAGTTGTCTGTTTTGGTTTAAGACATGTTGACAGTTGTCTGTTTTGGTTTAAGACATGTTGACAGTTGTCTATTGAGGCTTCAGAAACGTTAACAGTTGTCTATTATGGTTTAAGACACATTGACAGTTGTCTGTTGTGGTTTAAGGAATGTTGACAGTTTTCTGTAGTGGTTTCAAAAACGTTGACATTTGTCTGTTGCAGTTTAAGACACGTTGACAGTTGTTTGTTGTGGTTTAAGACACGTTAAAAGGTGTCTGTTGTTGTTTCAGAAACGTTGACAGTTGTCTTTTGTGGTTTAAGAAATGTT